ACGACACACACACACACACACACACACACACACACACACACACACACACACACACACACACACACACACACACACACACACACACAGAGAAGTGGGAGGAGAAGTGAGAAAAAAAAAAAGAATTTTTTTAAAAATTCATTTTGCCTTTTTTCTTTTCTTGTCTTCTTTTTCTTTTTTTCCTTCAACTTCGTTTAACAATTGAAAATTTTTTAAATGAAAGAAAAAAAAAAGCGAAAATTTGGGTGAGGGAAAGCAACGAAATTTTTCTTTCATAAACGTATTGAGTAATCAAAAAATTGTAATTGTGATCAGAGAGAAATTGAAAAATGAATGAATGAATTGGATTGGATGAAAAATAAACTATCATTGAGCTTTTCTTTTTTTTTTTTTTTCTCATTCAAAGATCAACGATTAAATTTGAAAAAGAAGGAAAAAAAAAATGACAAAAACGAGAAATATGACACAAAATTGAATTGAAGAATGGTTCGCTACTTTGCAAAGATCATTTTTAAATAAAAAAGATGAAGACAGGAGAGGGGGAGGGTAAGGAAGAGGAAAAAAAAAAAAGGAAAAAAATTGTCGAAAGGAAAAAAGACGAAGGATAAATGAAGGAGACAAATGACTGAGTGGGTGAGGAGAAGAATGAATAATGACAAAGATTAAAGTTTTTTCCGCTTGTGCTTTTTGGAGGACAGCTCCAATGAATAACGATGCTTTTTTTCCCCCATCTTTACAATTTTCATTTTTTTCCTTCCTCTTTTTTTCTCTTTTTTTTTTTTTTTTAAATTACTGTTAAAAAAAAAGAAAGAAAGGGGAAAAAGCCAATTATTGCAAGAACAGAAAGGAAATCATTTTTAAATTGCATTTTAATTAATTCTTCTCTTTCCACAAATTCATGATTCTTTTGAATTGTTGAAGCGACTCACATGTAATAAGTTATAGATGTAGTAGTTCCGGCTCATTCTCACATGTTATAAGTCATAGATGTAGTAGTTTCGGCTCATTCAGGATTTATCCGGATCTTTTTTCATTCAATATATCATGTAGTAGTTCCGGCTCATTCAGGATTTATCCGGATCTTTTTTCATTCAATATATCCCTGTATTGTTTAGTACATTTAATCTATATCCTCGATTTACTTGTCGTTTGTTTAGTAATGTTATCCATCGTTTTTTTTTTGATCTATCTGTCATATTAGCCAGATTAAATAAGCGACAAATGTTCAGTTTTGTTTTAAAATTTTCATCAAAATATTCATAGAAACATTCAAACATTTGTTAAAATAATAGCATGAGTAGTTTTTACCTTTATTTTATCCTTAACAGCAAATAAATAAGTATATTTGAGAAATACCTGATTATTTACATGTTAAGATGGACAGGATCAATGGGCGGAGAGGTAGTAGAAAATGACCCATAGTGGCCTTTTTACCAATAGGTCAACAACAAAAGTCTATTTGAGGTTTGGCTAGGAGCGGAATAGTACACAACAAAACTATCCAGCTGATTGTTTACCGCTTGTGCCATACTATTACTATATAGGCTATGCGCCAAGTCCAATTTTTGTTGTTTATGGGATGGCCATGTAGACAAGATGACCTCAAATATAATTTCCAATCCACTTCGTTTGTTGTTTTTCAGTAGGACTGCTGCCAAACAGATGATATTGTTGACGTTTTACGCTTTCATCTTTTCTTTTCAATGCATTCTTTTTACAGATGTTTGTCACCTTTTCTTTCTCTCACTCTCACTCTTATTCCCTCCCTCTTATAATCATTTCTTGTCTACCCTTTAAATGATCCACATTCTATCAATAAATATGCTTCATTCCATTTCTCTTCTTCCATACTGTAACTCCTTCTTTTTTTTTTCCCCATTTTGCTGAAAAATATTGTTGTTGTTTTTTGATTCCGCCCATTGACCTCGAGAAATCTCCTATGATCGTTTTTGATCTTTGATCTAGTGAGAAAAAAAAAAGAAAAAAAAAACAAAACAAAACATTGTGAGTAATATCCTTATCATCATCTAGTAGTTCTTCCCATCTGTTCATCCTACCAATTTTCCTCGAATATTTCTCCTGATGCATTTATCATTTATCTTAGTTTTTCCTCTCCTCGGGAGGAAAACTTTCCGTTCACAATGATTCATACTGTTACTACGATCAATAATTATCATAACGAGAACTACAGAATCCATGATCAAACAGAAATGTTTAAAAAGCTACCAGTTAACTGAGGTAATGATTACTTCTCTTACTTTACCAATGAATTATTACTGGGAAATTTCATTTACCGTATACGGAATATTTCAATAAAAATGTAAAACATAGATAAAAGTAATGGGAATTATAGGAAAAGTTAACGAGAAATGACATAGATTACGTTAAAAAAAAAAAATTACATCGTCATATCACTCTTTTTTTCTCTCTCTCTTTCTCTCTCTCTCTCTCTCTCTTCCTCTCTCTTTCGCTCTTTCCTAATTATCAACAGATGATTTCGAAATAAATAAAAGGTATACTGTCTCTAATTATCGCTTATTATATTTGAAATATTTTGAAATATAATTAAACAATATGCGGTTGAAAATAATTTTGGTTAAATGTATATGATTGCAATTTGCTTGTTGATAATACTTTAGGTATGATTTGGCATTATATGAGCTGGAGCAAATTAGTAAGCTAAAGGTAATGAGTATGGAAAAGAAAAAAAAAAAAAGGAAGACTACATTTTATAAGCGATTAAACTTTCAGGACAATTAATTTTCCGAGATGAAGTAAACAGACAGTGAAAATACTGATAAATATTGATAAAATATTCATTTTTCCTGTAATAATTCACCTATAGTTTTCTAAATTCATTTGCATGCTTAATTAGATAAAGATAATGTTGAGAAAACAGGATACCACTTATTGTTTATCACTAATTATGTGGTCAAATATTGATAAAATTAACTAATCCGAAATTAATTACTGGAAAGATTAATTATCGTCGTTTGTCAACCCTTTTTCACAACAAAAAACATCGAAAACAATAAAATGAAGTGTAAACAAAATCAATTGCTACTCTTAACATTAATAATTAAAGGTTATTAATTATTTTGTAACGTAATTACAACATGATTAAGGTAGCAAAAGAAATTATTATAAAAACACGATAACAAAAGTTTGAAAAAAGTTTTTTCAATTTTATAATTTTTATATTTAAATTAATGCTAACAAGTATTTAAGTTTACCAATTTCTATTCTAAACAAATTCTAGTCATTCCTTGTTTGTTATTCATTAATTGTTAAAAATGGAAAAATTATTTTAGGATTAAGTTTTTTTACTTTTTTTTTTAAAATTATTAATCGATTTAGCATACGATGTCTTACTGTATTTAAGGTTACTAAGTTTTAAGTGTTAAAGTTTTTTTCAAAATTATTAATTTATATTAGGTAAAATGATTGGATGGGACAATTTTAGATGCTATATGCAAATATTCAGTCCTAATATAATATACCATAATCCTTACACTATATAATATATTCTTATGCATAATTTATTATTAATATCAATAATCAATTAACTAATATAATGTTTTTAGCATTTTGATATTTTTTACCAAGTTTTTTGCATAATTTATAACAATAACTTTATGTAATATTTGATACTGTGCTTTCGTTAAATTTTTAAATGTAAAAAATACTTTTAGCATAAAAGGAAACATTTTAAATATGCAAAATTTAATTTTTATTCAAATTCGAAATTTATTTATTTATTTTTTTCAATCAAAATATTGTTACCGTAATGGCTAACATCCTTGATACATGTTTCCTCTAGATGTCTAACTGGTCAGCACTTAGCAATTATTATCAGTTTTGGTGAGAGATAGAGTGGACATGTGCAATGGAAAGGAAAATAGTTCATGGACAGTCAGCTAAAAGCACATACTGATGTACTGTTTTTCCTATTTCTAACTGTATAAATCTCTCTAAAATCCACGTTATTTTCCTCGTCAAATCATTACTGTTTGTATGGATTTCTTCCTGCAGTTATGCGGTACTCGAAGAGAAAATGTTATAGTAAGATAAATTTGAATAAGGAAACATTTAACACAATGTATGTTTCCTTAACATTTATGAGCTACTGTTATTAGCCTAAATTTCATGAATTATTACGGTATTTCGGGTAGTTTTGAATAGATCTCAATGTCCTCCTTGACCTTTTTCTCCCTCATTGACCTCTTTTTCCACCTGATGACATAAGAATGGCCTCCTTATTTTTTGATGCCAAAGATAATTCAGAAAGGATCGAGCACGAAGCAATAGTAATATTCCAAATAATGCAAATCAAACAACAATATGACTTATTTGTGAATTAAAATAAATAATTGATTTAAGTGATTTAAATGCACAGCTAATTGTCAATCGTCAAAGTAAGAAGGAAAACTGAATAAGAATTCCTGGAATAACTTTTATCGTTGATTTTAATTCCTGAAATAATTGTTGTCATTTTATTTTAATTCTTGAAATAACTGTTATCATTGATGGATTTTAAAACAAAAAAAGTTAATAATTTTAGATACAGGAACTGTTGTTGAGGAATCATTACAAATTATTGTTATTTTTCCGACACTATTAAAAATTATCCAAGTTTTAAGCTTTATTAAAATTATCTCTGGTAATCATAATATAAGAGGGAATTTAAATGATAAGTAGCAAAAATAATGATAATGATAATGACAATGATAATAATAATAATAATAATAATAATAATAATAATAATAATAATAATAATAATAATAATAATAATAATAATAATAATAATAATAATAATAATAATAATA